TCTTCTCTGCACTCTTTCCAGAGTCTCCGCATCTTTTCTACATCGTGGCGGCCAAAACTGAATGCAGTAATCTTAAACGTCCACATTCAACAAAGCAACATGTTGGGTATGATTGAGAAGAGAGGTCCTGAGTGCCCTCTGAGCTTGGTAGTTTTCTTGCAGCCGTTTCATTTCCCAAACTAGGTAACATCATCAGGGTTAGTTGGGTAACGAAATGTCTGCAAAAACCCCCACCAAGCTCAGGGAGCACCAAGGATCCCCTCTTAGCTACAAATATTCTCCTTTAATGGTTGAGAAGATCTTGCCTTGATTCCAGGGCACTTTCCCCCCCCACACCTAGGTGTATTCTACTCATGTCCCCAGTTGGTGTCCATCTTGCCAGATATATACTGGGATTCCCCCAAAATAAGACGGTGTCTTATTTTCTTTTGACCCCTGAAATAAGCGCTTGGCCTTATTTTCAGGGAGATCTTATTTTTTGGAAGTGCAGGAGGCGGCCAGCGTGGTGACCTCATGGCTGCTGCTCTCTTGCGCTGCTGCTCGTCAGCTGGACACTTTTCAATCAAAGCATCTCTGCAGGGGTAAGGAGTGGGGTATGAGGTGCATCGCTGGGCCTGCCGCTCTGGTTGTGGCGCCATTAGCATGACAGAAGGGGCGCGGTGGCTAGGGTTGTGGGAGTGGCCGTTAGCTAAGGGCGTGTGGGGTGCGTGGGGTATGTTCCCCCCTCCCTTTCTCGCCCCCCACCCAGCCTTGCCTCCTCACCTCGTGTTGTTTGCATGGAAAGCAACCAGAGGAAGTGGCGAGGACCAGCTGCACATGCGTTTAAATATTTTCGGGGCAGGGCTTGTTTTAATGCATTGGGCTCAAAAGCCCGATTGGGCTTATTATCAGGGAGGTCTTATTTTTGGAACAAGGTATTAGCAATAGCAGTAGCACTTCTATACCGCTTTACAGTGCTTTACTGCCCTCTCTAAGCAGTTTACACCGTCAGCCTATGGCCCCCAACAATCTGGGTCCTCATTTTACCGACCTCGGAAGGGACAGAAGGCTGAGTCAACCTTGAGCCTGGTGAGATTCGAACTGACGAACTGCAGGCATCCTGCATTACTGCCCTCTAACCACTGCGCCACGCTGGTTCATATATTGCTGTGATTTAATCTTTTATCGTTATTCTTGTGCAATGGGGGCAGCTTAGGGCCAAAGACGTGAGCTGCTGGGATTTGTCGGCGTGCGCTTACCTTTTCGCGGAGTCGCTCCCTCAAGGCAGCTAGGTGAGCTTCGCGGATCTCCTTGCTGAGCTCCATCTTGTAGTTGAGTTTCTCCTCAGCCAGCCGGCTGAAGTTGTTGTTCTCTTCCAGAGCCTTGTGTAGCACTTCCCGCTCGTGTTCGCGCTTCTCTGCCAGCTGCTTCAGGACTTGAGCTTCCTGGTTCTGCAAGAAAACCCATAAAAGCAAAGGTGATTCGGGAGCTCTTGAGTAGCCAATGGTCTGGGAAGCTCTCCAGGGGTGGCATTCAGCCCGTTCGGTCCCATTCGGGTGAACTGGATGCTAATTTTACATCTAGTTGCAAGGACCGGCTGGCCCCGCCCATCTCCTCCCCTTCCAGGAGTCTCCACGCAGTCTGTTTTGGATGCCAAGAAAGTGCAGAATCTGCACGGAGACTCTGGGAGGGCGAAAAACGGGAACAGAAACAGGCCCGTTACCAGCTTCCAGAGTCCAGCGGAGGGTGTATTCACCCTCCCGGAGGCTTGAGTGAAACCTCTGGAGCCCGGGAAGGGCAAAAATGCTCCCTTCCATGGTGCAGGAGGCAGAGAAGGCCACGCCCATAATGGCCACACCCACCCAGCAAACGGGCAGAGAACCATTTGCTAAATTTTTGAACCTCACCCCAGGAGCTTTCCCAAGCAGCATCGCCATTCCCACGGATTTATTTCTTTAAAGTCTGGGAGCCCATCCCAACACCCGGCTCTCCTCTATCACAGGACTGGTAGCCCTCAACTTGGCTGTAGGACAGGGGGGGTGTCTCCAAAATTGACCACTTGAAGGGCCGTGGACTTCAACCCCCAGAATTCTAAACGTGGTTAGTAGAATAGCAATAGCAATAGCAGTTAGACTTATATACCGCTTCATAGGGCTTTCAGCCCTCTCTAAGCGGTTT